TTAGAAGGAGCCTCGTTCATCCCCTGCTGCCCTGAAGAGGGTGTGGCCTCACTCTACAGTCCTGTGCAATTCTGCACAGTCACTTACCCTCCTGACATAAAGAGTGACACTGCCAGGAAACGGTTTAAACACAAACTCCTGAAAGAGAAGCCAGAAACTCTGTTCACAGACCTGTATAAGACTGGTGAGATCAGCAATCTCATCTTTTACTCTGACCGCCCAAGATCATAGCACAAAGCCTTGATTTCTCACTACCCCTCTGTGAAAAAAAGAGGCCATCTGTAATGGATGGAAGGATAATAATCTCAGAGAAATTGCTGAGAAGGAGAGATCTAGCGAAAACATTCCACAGGGGGAAGACACTGAATGTGCCTTAACACACAGCAGTGCAGAGCCCTCAGCTCAGGAGCAGGACATTGAGCAGGACCAAGACCCTTCACTCTACACCTCCATTACCCTAATAAAGGAGCACTTCCCATGACTGGAGGTAGAGCTTGTATATCTTCGGGAGATGGTCCTCAAACAGGAACAGGACAAAGAGCTGAAGCACGAGAGAGAGACCTACAGAAAACAGCTGGCTGAACTGAAAGAGCAGGTCAGAGAACTACAGAAGGACAGGGAGACAAGGACGGCTACAGGAAGGAGATGGCTGCACTGAGAGAGGAGCTGAGACAGAGAGACAGCACAGTACACAGTCTGAGAGAACAGCTACTCTCCTCCAATCAACAACAGAGTCCTCTAACAGCAGAACTCCACCCAGACTAACCCGTCCACCCAGCTTCAGCCTCCAACTTCAACCTCAACCTCCACCAGCTCACAGATGCCTCCTCCACCTTCTACCCCCACAAGCTCACAGCAGTCTCCTCCCAACCAACAAGCACATCTAGAGCCCAGTGTCCAAAACACAAACAGAGCAGAAAGAAGAACCACAGACCAACAGGACACTACACTTCTAATAGACTTCAACGGTAAATTTATTGATGAGAAAAAAACTCTTCCCCAGACACAGAGTGGCTAAAATCTGGTGGCCTTCTACATGAAAAGCACTGGAATTACTCAGAGGCAAAACTGGGATCACCAAGCCACATCATTATACACACAGGATCAAATGACCTCAGAGCTCAGCAAGAAAGAGTGGCCATATCCCTGAGAGCAGTGATAGAGAAGGCCAGCAACACCTTCCCTAATTCGAAGATCATCAACTCCACCCTGCTGTCCCGCAAAGATTTTCATCCATACACAATTCAGAAAACCACCCAACTCTGGATACAGCCTACCTCTATGACCACGTCCACCTATTCAAAGAGTAAGTTCCTGTGTTTGCTAAAACATTGAAAGACGTCACACTGATCCGCAATGTCATCACACTCCAACGCAAAGCTGGACGAAACCCAAACACACAGCCATCAAGATGCACCCCAATACCTGCAGACGGAGCAACTCCAAGCCCTGCATCCGAGACCATGCCCCTCACTATCCAGCACAGCCAGATAGGCAGACAAGGTACCGTAACAACCCCGGCCTTCCGCCAGCATCAGCACCTATGGCAGGAACACATACTGCACCACTGCCCCAGGGCCCACCTCCCCAACAACTCCAGACCAGGCCAGAAACACTGACCTACGCTCAGGCTGTCAGTGGACCAGCAAATCCCGATTACTCTGAGCTCAGAGACATACAGGGAATGCTAAGCCAAATTTGCACTTGTCTAATGGGACACGGTCTGTGGTAAGAGTCCCATTACCATAAAGGTAAAGAGCATTAACAGAAACGGTTAGTTTGAAAAAAAAAACAATATAACTCTATTTAAGTTCAGTGATTAAGACATCAAACTCTATTTTCAAGTTAAAATCCCCCTACTGCAACAAAGAAATCTTCCCAAATCTAGAAAATGAAAATCAGCCATTTCCAAAAACAAGGCCATATAATTATGGGGACCTAAACGCTAGAACAGAAGACCAACCAGACTTTATCAGCACTCAAGGTGATCACTTTATAACAGTAGATAATATTAATTTTCCCTCTTACTCCCCCAGAAAAAACTGCGACAAGTCAGTAAACGCACATGCGAAGAACCTACTGCAGCTTTGTCGAAGTCTGGGTCTATACATTGTAAACGGATGGCTACAAAGGGACTCCTTCAGTCAGCTCGGCTCTAGGCAGCAGTATAGTAGACTATGCCATAACAGATCTGGACCTGACCTTCCTGAGAGCCTTCACAGTCAAGCCATTAACACCCCTCTCTGACCACAGCCAAATTAATATATACCTGAAAAGAACAGCTACAAATGATAATTGGCAAACTCCAAATGTACAAACTCAGACAATCCCTCAGGTGGGCTCAGAGCAGCACCGAAAAATATGTCCATGCCATCAACAGCCAAAAAATCCCGACGCTTCTTGACTCCTTCCTGTCAAATATCTACCCCCAAAATAGAGAGGGAGTCGACGTGGCTGATCCAAATTTCAAATCTAACTGTTAAGAAAAACAAATCAAAGAGCACTCAGTCAAACAAATGGTTTGATCAAGACTGCAAAAAAAAAGAGACAAGAAGTTAGAAATGTATCCAATCAGAAACACAGAGAACCACATAATCAGGAACTGCGCACAAAATACTGTGAGATACTTACAGAATATAAACATATACTGAAAGCTAAAAAGTACAAATACATGCAAAATCAGGCATGGAGGGAGAGAGGGATATTAACAGAGAAGTTAGGCAGCCTTAGGGACACACTGAGCATTAAACTTAGATGTAATGTGATCCACACTAATGTCCAAAATCTTGGATCTAATCATTCAAGAGATGAAACGCCAGCAGAAAAAAGTGATTGAACCTTAATACAAATATCTGATATGCATTAGGCCTGACATTCATTCAGACGATGGACAGACTCCCCAGCAAGATGAGAGATCAGACAGATGCACCCATGATTACCTTAAGCTAAATCTAGGACACAACCTGGAATGTGACTTAAAAGGAAGTCATAAGATTGTCATACAAAATATTAGATTAAACTTAAATGAGCGCAAAATTACAAGGTTAGCCAGATGGCCAAAGGAGATTTAGAGGTGGTCAATCTAATGTGCAACTTGCAATTTACCACTTATGAAGGGATGTACGCAGTTGGTAAGGCAATGTCGACCTCTAGTGGCAAAAACATGAAGCACCTTCTTTTTTTTAGCTTAAGCTGTTTTTCAAATGTTATTTTAAATACAGAACTGATCATTCTACTATACACACTTACTATATGTTACTATACACACTTACTATATGTTACTATACACAACTCAAATGTTTTATTCAGCACGGAAGTCATCTTTTTAAGCATGAATTTCAGCATGAAATGGTTCTATACTGAACTCATGGATCTAAAAGGAACCATTCCTTTGACTAAAGAACCCTTGAAGAACCATATAAGAGTGTAGAATTACATCCGTATTTAGAACTGTAACCTACATCTCTAACGCTACATACCTTCAACACAAGTTTCTGCATTCTGGACTGCATTTCGTAGAATCAACGGCACCTGAAAAATACAAGACGTGATAAAAATCTGTATTTTATGATAACCATTGGGGTAAGTGCATGAAGTATTTTGTGTTGTTCTAATAATTATAAAGCCCTGATAGGACTACAAAGTGAATATGAATGAGAATTAATTAAGATTAAAAAGCGTCACATTAAAAAGCGTAAACGGACTTCTAAACAGAGCGGACATGACTGACATTTTGAGTTTTCGTTGCACATTTAGGATTTTATTTTACAATGTCGGCTAAAATGACTCTGTTTAGTCTTTTCAAAACGTTATTTTACCATTAACAAAGACGTATTCAACAACCAAAGCCCGAGTGCGGGAAAACACCGTGTGTTTCAGCCAGAAAAACCAAACGTTTACCGCGCTTCTAGAAAATGTCACGTGAACCCGGGGTCCCCGAAGCTCACGGTTGCCAAAGAAATTCATGGGTAGCTCTCATTTTTGCCTGATAATTGGCGTCACGTATTTATTAGAAAGAATAAGACAGAAGAGTAAAATGAGGTAACCTGTGATATTTGTTTTATAGAATGTATTTGATGGTTTTATAAGTCAAGACCACATATTGATTTCCTTTATAAAAGCCGTTCATAGCTGGGAATTAGAACCGGCGTTGCCATTACGGTGCCCTTATAAGCAGGAACTTAAATTTTAAACATTGTATAAATCTCAAATGGCTCCATACTCCCTATGTAGTGTGCTATGTAGGCCATGAAAATTCACACCTAAACAATACATAATGCGTCTGCTAGAAAGCAACTGGGTGAAGAAGGCACAGTTTTATTACTTATGCACTAAGTAGGACATAGGAAGCCATCTGAGACTCACCATAGCAGATACTGCATTAGAGCCAGTTTAAGGGGAACATAGGCACTTCCCGTTTCTCCTGTTATATCGAAAACGTAACTGCAAAACGCCAGAGGGCGCCCGCGAACGAGTCCTCAATGAATGGGGGTGAATGGAGCTAAACGGCTAAAAACGAAAAGTTAAAATAGTTTCCAGCCATTTGTTCAGGACCTTCCTTTAATTTTGGAAAGTAGAAGGATGTATTTTACCAAAAAAATCAAAGAAACCATACCTGTATTTTTCCTTTTTTCTACAGTAAACGGATTTGGGCGGTGAGACGCTAAGCATTACTGGTACTGAGTACTGATTGCTTAGCATTACTGCTGTTGAGAGCTGATTGGTTGCTGAGCTAATCAGCTCATTGGCTGAGTGAAGCGATTCGCGCTCGGTGAGGTCATGACCGTACATGATCTGGAGCTCAGAAGCACTCGAAAAAATAGAAGCAGTGTTAAAATGTTTTGGCCTGTCCTGTGTTCAGGTAGTGAAAAGATTTATATATTAAAACGTATAAGCATTTTGCTCAAATAGAATCCCTTTCAATTTAGAATTTTGGACTCACTCAGGAGTGCCCTCTAGTGTTTGACAAGCGCGAATAACATTATAGAGTGGAGATTCTCCTCACTACACATTCTCTGGCTGCTGCTCCAACCTGCATGCATAATGCTTCATAGCGGGTATCCATAAACGCCACACGATTTATAAAATCCAGACAGGTGGCGAAGACGCAGGGAGTTTAACGTCAGTGTTTTACAGATATTTTGTCTTTTCAAATTGATTTTTAGTTTCGGCTACGAAGCACTCAAAATCCCAAATCTGCTGTAGTCACGTGATACAAACAAAGCTGAAACTGGACCGGAGCCCTTTTTTCCTTTTGATCAAACTCCCGACCTGGAAAATTGCCTCAGACTGTGAACATTTTGTCGGAAAAGGGCAAGTTGGGCTACAATCTCTCCTTGTAGGGCGGCGGTGTTGTGAAGCAATGTCTCGTGTTTGTAAGAAAAAGCCATCTCTCTGCACGGATGAGCCACTTGCTCAAACCGAAGTATTTCAGAAGTTGACATTACTGCGGCACATGCTCTCCTCCTGCTGTGGCCCGTTTGGCAGGCTGAAACAAATTCACAACAACGTGGGAGGACACGTTCTGACCACCTCTACCTCCGCGGTGTTGCTCAAAGCTCTCACCTTCTCTGAGCCACTGCTTAAACTGATAGCAACATTAATTACTAACCACATATTGCGTTTCGGTGACTGCGGTTTGTTCACAGGCATCTTTTGTATTGGCCTCGTTGAAAACGCCCAGAGACTGAACCTCGGGGCTGCAGCGGCAAGCCGAGTATACAAGCAGCTGTTAAAAGAATCTATACGTTATCTTACTTCAGATTGTTGTGGCTGCAAAGTTCAGGTGGACTTCAACAGTATTCAGTCACTCATGGCTCTAGCCCACAGTGTGATCACAAGCAAAACAGCCTGTATGCTGACCCCTGATGAGGCTCAGCATATAATTTCTCTCACTGTGCAGGCCTTCCTTCAGTCTGTTCCCTGTGATTCATCCGACAGAACTTGCTTTGGCAGGACAGTGACCGTGCCTTTAGAAGGTCAGCCAGTGAGAGACTCTGCAGTTTTCTCAGGACTGCTAGTGGAAGTACCTATGCAGCAATCAGAAGAGTTACAGAGGCTGAGGCCTGGTCCCTGTAAAATTGTGTTATTCAGCACATCTCTGTCTGGTGATTTCTCTGAAATTGGAGAGGCAAAGTTGGAGATCCACACAGGAGTGAATCCAGAGGGGGCTCTTTTGGACCAGCTGCTGCAGCTTGGAGAGCAGGCAGTCAGGGATGGTGTGGGTCTGTTTGCATGTCAAAAAGTGATTCACCCAGTCCTGCAGCATTACTTGAGGGAACATGGGCTGGTGGTAATCGAGAGGCTTGGAGCTGCACTCATGGAGCCTTTTGCCCAAATGACGGGTTTGATACATTTTTGGCTTTTCTTGTTGGTTTTTCCATCATCTTTGAAAGAAATCAGTTGTTAAAACCACTTACAGACTTGGCATAGAATCAGAATCTTTATTCACCAAATACCAGGTGTACAAGGAAGTCCTTTTAGTACATGTAACACATTATTCTTTTCTGTGTTTCAGGTGCCATTATGGTAGAATCTCTCTACTCTCCAGTCCTGGACAAAGCATATGGACAGGTGGGAGGACTCTGTCTCCATCGCAGAGGATCTAAAGAGCTGCTCCAGCTCCTTCCTGTTGGAGAGCCAGCTGTGAGCACCATGCTGCTCTGCCACAGAAATGAAACCATGTTAGATGAGTTAAAGGTTAATTGATGCTGATGTATTAGCAGCTGTTGATGTAGAGCAATGAATACATTATAATTTGCCTATTTATTTATGCTTTGTTCTGACATAATTTCCATTCTTTGTTGTGTTAAAGGTGACATGTCAAAGGGCAGAGCACATACTGAGACTAACTCTTAAGGAGCCTTATGCACTATTAGGAGGAGGCTGTACAGAGACACTGCTGTCTGCTTATATCAGATATATGGTATGCACTTGTTTTTATTTTGGATTACTTTCTACAGGGGTGTCAAACTCCCTCTTCTGTTTTCTCCCAGAAAAAAAAGGTGCTAAACTGACTAATATTTAAACAGAATACTTCAGAGTGGTTTGGAATGAAATGCTCCACTCTAGAGAAGGTTACAAATTCAGAATTGTTCACAGTGGTGAGACATTGGTTTACAAAAATTGTCAAACAAAAATGGATGATTTTTGGCCTAAATTGTTTTTAGAATGTATTCATGGTGGAGAAGTACATGCAAGGTGTTAAAACAGTCCCCAAAGAAAATTTCTTTTTTTTTTTTTAGATTTCCCACTATTTTATAATAATCAACATTACATATAAAAACTCAGAAGATGTGTAGGTTCACTGGTGGTTTTGGATAGTAAATAAAATGAATATATATGTGTTGTAGACATCACAACCACAGGTTCCTGTCACCACCACTGTAAAGAAATCTGAGTCAACAAGTTTTTCTAGAATGAAGCATTTCACATCAAACCACTCGGAATGACTGTTTACATCTCAACATCTTAATTATGCAGGAATTCACCTTTAAGGGTTTGTCTTCAGTACTTTTAATCAGGGAGCATAATTGTACTATATGTATGTTTTTTTAACAACTGCATAAGTTGCAGTGACTCTCATGCACTGTGTCTTGATTTTTCTGTTTTTAAAACATTAGGTTTAAAAAAAAACATTAGATTTTTTTTTGTACATATATGAACCTTTCAAAAAAAACTTACTTACACTGTTGAACCTTAAGACCACTGTTGTACCTTTGAGGTTACATATACAGTGCTGTAAAAAAGTATTTGACCCTCACCAGATTTCTCCTATTTTTGCTAATTTGTAACATTTAAATGTTTGAGATCATGTAACAAATTTTATTATAAGATGAAGACAACATGACTAAGTACAAAGTGCAGCTTTTAAATGACCGTTCAGTTGGTTGAAGATTATCAAAACCTTTATTACACATGTGGAAAAAGTAATTGCCCCCCTAAACCTTGCAATTAGTTGTGCCACCCTTGGCAGTAACAACTGCAATCAAACATTTGCAATAACTTGTGATGAGTCTTTTACATGACTGTGAAGAAATTTTGGCCCACTCTTTTTTGCAGAATTGTTTTAATTCAGCTACACTGGAAGGTTTTTGAGTATGATCTGCCCGTTTAAGATCTTGCCACAGCATCTAAATATGATTCAAGTTTCGGCCATTCCAAGTTTGTTTCTTTTGAGCAGAGGTGGACTTGTGTGCGTCGGATCACTGTCCTGCTGCATAACCTAGCTGCACTTGTGCTTTAGGTCACAAACTAATGGGCAGATGTTCTCCTTCAGGAAAGGAGAATTCAAGGTTTCATCAGTTATGACAAGTTGTCCAGGTCCTGGAGGAAGAAAAGCAGCCCCAGACCATCATGCTACAATCAGCATGCTTGACTGTTGGTATGATGTTCTTATGGTGAAGTGCAGTGTTAGCTTTAAGCCAGATGTAACGGAACCAGTGTCTTCCAAAAAGTTCCACCTTTGACTCGTTAGTCCACTGAATATTATCCCAAAAATCTTGGTGAACATCTAGATGTTTTTTGACAAATGTGAGATGAGCCTTGTTGTTCTTTTTGGTCAGCAGTGGTTGCGCCTTGTAACTCTTCTATGAATGGCATTTTTGCCTAGTATCTTTCGTATTGTGGAATTATGTACATTGACCTTAACTGAGGCAAGCGAGGCCTGCAGTGCTCTTAGATGTTCGTCTGGGTTCTTTTGTGACCTCCTCTTGGTGAAATTTTGGTAGGACTGCAACTCCTGGCAAAAGTTACAGTTTCAAGTTTTCTCCATGCATGGATAATGGCTCTCACTGTGGTTCGCAGGAGTCCCAAAGCCTTAGTAAAGACTCGGTAACCCTTTTCAGACTGGTAGATATCAATGACTGTGTTTCACATTTGTATTTGAATCTCTTTAGAAGCTGCTGCTATATGAGACCTTCTAGCCTGCTTCACGTTGCCAGACAGTTCTATTTAAGTGATGTTTAGATTCCACAGGCAATAATCATGCCTGGGTGTGGCTAGTGAAATTGAACCCAATATTCAATTAAATTTGGTCAACTGGTTGATTTAGTAGCTAAGGGGGCAATTACTTTTCATATAGTGTCATGTAGAGCTGAACAGCATTTTTCCTTCAATAAATAGAATCACTCTAAAACAGCATTTTATGTTTATTTGGATTATCTTTGTCTAAAATGAAAAGTAGTTTGATGATCTGAAACATTCAAGTGTGACAAAAATGCAAAAATAGAGTAAATTAGGAAGAGGCAAATACTTTTTCACAGCATGGTACATTGTTTGTACCTTAAACAAAAATGTACAGTACAGTATTTTCTTTTCCTGACAGTGTATAGGCCTACACTGTACTTCAAATAAGGCACTGTGCACAATTTTCTTACGTGTGACGTACTATGTGGGGGAGTGTGGGGCACAACCTAATGTGAGGTAAAATGTAACTGATATTTATGTAGTTAAATAGGTTCAAGTACAATCACTCTTATTCGCCAAAGTTGCGTGAAAAAGAATAAAGTGTGCCACTTTTAATAAGGCACAAACTACTCTGCATGTAATTTATGAAACTTTCGAGCAATGTGGAACAAACAGAGACTTGGGCGCAAATGAAGAAACAGCTTTAGTTCATATCACATACCGCCTACCAGCGCCTTATTTACATATGATTTATGTGAAGCACAACCTAATTCATGCAGATGCTTTGGTAGGGAGCCAAAGAAACAGTCTCAACAGTTTGTGGTCTTCTTTGTCATATTTTTCATTTCATAATGTGCCAGATGTATTCAGTGGGTGACAGATCTGGACTACAGGCAGGCCAGTTTAGCACCCGGACTCTTTTATTACATAGTCATGCTGTTGTGGTACGTGCAGAGTGTGGTTTGGCATTGTCTTGCTGAAATAAGCAAGGCCTTCCCTGAAAAAGACGTCATCTGGATGGCAGCCAGTGTTGCTCCAAAACCTGCACGTATCGTTCCGCATTAATGGTGACCTTCACAAATGTGCCAGTCACTCATGCCATGTGCACTAACGCACCCCATACTACAGTGGATGCTGGCTTTTGAACTGTGCACTGATAACAACCCAGATGATCCCTCTCCTCTTTAACCCAGAGGATTTCATCCATGATTTCCAAAAAGAATTTCAGATTATGATTTTTTGGACCACAGGATACTTTTCCACTTTGCCTCAGTCCATCTTTACTTCTGAAAGACTCAGCCTCTCTGGGATGCTCTTTTTATATCCAGTCATATTACTGACCTGTTGTTGGTTTCCTGTTGAAAAAGTTCCTGTTTTTCTGTGGAGAAAATGGCCTAAATGAGGTAGACCGCTAAACTCTGCAGTGCTGTGGTCCTCCTGGACTAGAGTCTGACACCCCTCCTAATTATATTTATAATGTACATGCTCACAGATGCTTGGCCATGAATTTAATTTGGTGTGCTAATTCATAAATATTTGGTTATATTCCACACAGAGCCAGTCAAAGGCCATTAAAGCAGCCACAGCTCTAAACTGCTCACATTCTCAGTTCCTGCTTGGTGTAGAGGCATTCTGCTGCTCTTTGCAGACTATGGCATTGTCTCTGAACCATGGTGGCCAGCACTGTCTCATGGACTTGACCCATGCTCATCACTGGGTCACAGCAGTGGACATGGACTCCCAAACCAGTGCCTTGCTATCTTGCAGCTGTGGCCTGGTGAAGGACAGGCCAGGTCTGGAGAAGACTTCTATAAATACAAAGTATTGTTCCTTCTTTCCAGCACTTACTGAAAAATCTGATTGTCAACCCAGATTGCTGGACTCATTTACTGCCAAGCTTAGTGCGTTGAATGTTGCAGTAGAGATGGCCAGTCTTGTGCTGGATGTGAAATACACCATCAAAGATGTGAATTGAGTTTATATTTAAACATCTGTGACACAATTAAAATTATTGATTACAATGAATTTCAATTGTCTCATGAATTATGAATGTATTTGTTTTATTTACATCGTGTGAATCACATGATTTCCAAATGGGGAACGCAGTTTACAGTTTTTATCACCAACATCCAGTAAATGGCTGCATGTTCCAAATAATGAGCAGGATTCGTACGGTCATGAACATCTTGAAGAAGTCATGGAATATAGAAATTTGGTTTTCCAGGCCTGGGAAAGTCATGGAACATAAGATCTCAGAAAACACCAAAAGACCCAAGACTGAAGAATCTAGACTAGAAGAATCACAGACTAGTTTTACTAACATTTACTTTCATGAATGTCGGCTAGGTAAGGGCCAGCATTTAGAACGTGCCTGTTGCAAACTTTGTGGAAGATGTTTTGACATTCAAACACTGGAGAAGGTGAATTAACAAGCCAAATGAAAGAGTGCGATACACAGTGGTCCACCTTAACTGCAGAAATAAAATATTGTTAGCTTAGTGATACATTAGCTACCCCACTTAACAACAAGGCTCACAGTATTGCCCCACAATTGTACTTTACAGTGCGCACAATAGGTCACACCAATAATTTCTCATATTTGTATCGACTGTAATGACCTGCTCAAGATACATGGATTCTTGTTGCAGTGGAGACCTCTGACAGGAACTGTGGCTGTCTACTTTGGTATTGCTTTTGTTAGTTTACTGCCCATTGATTTATCCATGGATCTCCTGCGAGCACCATCCAGTGTAGTCTACCAGAGGTTTAAAGCCATTTTAAACTTTTGCTTTAAAAGCTGTGTTTGAGAAAGCTACAGTCACTGATTCATAGCAACATAAAGCACACGAGCAGCTGGATTTCAGCTTGCACTACTATACATGGTCCAAACAATCAACCTGGGAAAACTAGGAATGGTGAGTGTACCTTTGACAGTGTTTATATTTACCTTTAACCCTTAGAAGTCTGGAGTTATTGCTGTTATTGTGCCAATATAATTACAGAATGACATATTTAGTTAGGTAATAAATTATTGCATTTTACATTTGATTTAAGTTCTGTATCAAAAGGCTTGAGTCAGCACTTCTGAAATGTTCCTCTATGCCAATGCCAAAATTGACTAAAATGAAGCAGTAATAACTTAATAACAATAATAAATTTTCACAAAATTGTAATCATAATAAAATCCTCTTCTTCTTACAAACTAAAACACAAAATAAATTGAAATTTTAGAATATTTCTGCAGAATTGTTTTGCTTCTTTCAATGACCTGAGAGAAATAATTCATCTTAATTTACACAGTGCTTTTGTTTTTGCAAGCGACGACTTGTAAGGGTTAAACTGCTCTGTGCTGCATAATCCCCATATCTGAACATTAGATAGAGGCATTATCTGGCATTCAGATTAATGTATTTTTAAAAAATTTAATAAATAAATTTGTTAAAAAACTGCAATTAGAGTAAATACAAATAAACTAATAGTGTGCGTTAGCTTAACCATTACCAAAGCTCTCTTCAAGTCCAGAATTTGCAGTTATTTTTTTTTTACTTTTGTTTTTATTTTTATGAAACAGTACTGCAATGTTTCCAGAAAAGAAGAAAACTTTCCCAGTTATATCTATACACTCTTCGATCTCAATTATTACACAAATAAGCAACACTCCAAAATAAAATTTGCCAGATGCATAAAGTATTTGCAGTTATCATCCAATACCTAGTTTATCTAATCAGCATTTAATTCAGTTGAATCAGGCGCTGCTGATGGAATTTAACAAATCCATGCAACAGAGTGCAGTAAGATGTCAAAACCAAACTTTTGTTCTTCTAATTGTATTCTTCTAAGCACAATGTTAATAATAAAAAAAACAACACAGAAACACACTTACTGCTAAGATACATACTTTTAAACAGTTTTCTTGGCTGCTTAAGATTTAGTGCAGAACTGTAGTTTTTAGAAATGACAATACAAATAATTTAATAATGAAAATTCAGAGCTGGAGCTTTCACTTTGTTGTTCTAAGATATGTGATATATTTGTGGGTTTAGGAAGTTCCAAAGACTATCCATATAAACACTTAAGTAATCTACAAATCCAGCTGTCAGCTCTTTTATGTGTAACTGTTTACACACTGCATGGCCAAAAGTATGTGAATATTCACTGTCTGGCAGTCTGATAGATGAATGTGGCACTTGGTAGCTGCCAAATCAACCCTCTCATTAGGTGAGTCAGAAAAACATGATCTGATTGCCTTCATCTGTGGAAGCTTTTATGGTCGTTTGTGTGGGCTGTAAGTTGCAAAAGTTTGGGAGAACGGAGAAAGGACTGTTTTATTCTGTTTATTCTGGTTTTGTTGATATTCAATAATAATTCAGCTACCAGTTACCTCAAACAGAGGTATTGCACTCAACCGGTCTGGACAACAATTTCTGAGTGCTCTTACTCTGAGAATGAAACAAGACCAAGACCGGTCTCAAGTACTAGTCAAGTCAAAGTTTATTTACATAGCGCTTTTTACAACCGGCTTTGTCACAAAGCAGCTTTGTGAACAGAAAAAATCCAGGTCCAAGCCCCCATGAGCAAGCCAGTGGTGACAGTGGCAAGGAAAAACTCCCTAAGAGCAAGAGAAAGAAACCTTGAGAGGAACCAAAACTCAAAAAGGGAACCCATCCTCCTCTGGTTGACACCAGATAGCAAACAGTAACAGCACAGAATAAAGTTTGACCATCAGTATAAGATACAGAAAAAGAGAAAAGCAGGTGAAGTAACGTCTATGATTAAACAATGTAGCAGTAACATTGGGAGGGTCAGTGGTATGGAGGTGAAGTTTGCACAGCGTTGTACAGCAGGGAAGCTCCATGGTGGTCAAACTGGTCCAGTAGGCTAGTGAGCAGTGGGCACCTGATCAAGGCAGATATAGCAACAGCATCAGACTGCACAGGATGGGCAGTTAGTTCTGTTAAGACAGACTGATTACAGTATATGGTGTTAACAGAGTGCAGCAGAGACTCCAGCAGGTCGAGCTATCTCAGCCTAATTAAAATGGAGAGCCAGAAGGTAACAGACATGAGGGCTTCCTAAGATGTCAGCACCTTTCTGCCCCACTGTCAAACAAATTTGAGTGGAACCAGCAGCAGAACGACAGCACCGACACTCCCAGTTTACCATAATGTTCAGTGTCCATGAAGCTCCCAGATCTGCATCCTTTATATAAAGAGAAAAAAACAATTACCAAAAGCTTGACTAAACAAGTAGGTTTTTAGCCTAGACTTAAAAACTGAGGCTGAGAAATATCTGAGCCTTACAAACAGTTTGCGTGAAATCCCAGCCCTGAGATCTATAAGAAAGATTGAATGAATACAGTGAATGCAAAAAACTTAAGGTTGCTCTTTTGCAAATTACAGTAAAAGACCAAACCTCAAAGTCGAAGTCAAAGTTTTTTTTTTATATAGCGCTTTTTACAACAGTTGTTGTCACAAAGCAGGTTTACAGAAAAATCCAATCCCCCATGTGCGAGCCAATGGCAACAAGAGCAAGAGGAAGAAACCTTGTGAGTAACCAAGACTCAAAACGGGAACCCATCCTCCTCTGGTCGACACCGGATGGGAAACAGTATCATCAGAAGGGGCTAGTTCATGCACGTGAAGTTTGCACAGCGTTTCACAGCAAAACGCTCCATGGTGGTCAAACGGGTCCGGAGGCTGGCGAGCAGTGGCCACCTGATCAAGGAAGAAGAAGCAACAGCATCAGACTGCACAGGATGGGCAGCTGTTCAATTCAGCAAAGAAAAAGAAAACACACAGAGAGTTCTTTCTGTGAAGAGTGACTGATTACAGTTTATAGGGTTAGCAGAGTGCAGCAGAGGCAGGTCTAGTTATTACAGCCTAACTAAAAGGGAGAGCCAGAAGGTAACAGAGACATGAGGGCTCCCTGAGATGTCAGCGCCCCTCTGCTCCACTGTCAGCAAACTTGAGTGAACATGTGAGAGCAGCGGGACGACAGCACCTGTAGAGACAGTGCATTTCTTAATTTAGCAATATTGCGAAGATGCAGGAAAGCAACTCTAGTAATATATGTTATATGAGCATTGAAGGATAGCTCAGGATCTATCATGACACCAAGGTTTTTTACAGATGTACCTGATGCAATGGAGAAACTATTAAGTTTAAGTGTTAAATTAGATAGTTTGTTTCTAGCAGCTTTTGGATCAAGAAGAAGAACCTCTGTTTTATCTGAGTTGAGTAGGAGAAAGTTACTTGACATCCAGTCTTTTATGTCTTTTATACAGTCCTCAATCTTGTTAAGTTTATCATCTAGTTTGGCTGATATATATAACTGTGTGTCATAGCAGTGGAAATTGATGCTTTGTTTACTGATAATGGTGCCAGGTGGTAGCATATATAATGTGAATAATATAGGTCCTAAAACAGAGCCTTGTGGAACACCATACTTTACTTTTGCAAGAACAGACGATTTGCGGTTTACATTTAGAAACTGATAGCGATCAGTGAGGTAAGATCTGAACCAGGAAAGAGCTATTCCTGTTACTCCTACAAGGTGTCTAGGGTGGGAGGCCAGGACTGGACACCTCTGCACTAGTGTATCTCAGAGATGTCCAGTTCAAGTTCCGGAGATCTGCCACCCTGCAGAGTTCAGCTCCAACCCTGATCTGACACACCTGATCCAG